TGGACTAGATGACCCACAGAGGTCCCTTCCAACCCCTACTATTCTGTGATTCTGTGATTCTGCGATTATACAGCCAATTTGAAGAACTGAAATAGTGTCTTTAATACTGTTGTCCTGGTGGATATATCTGGGTGCTCCCAGCATGTTTGTCTTGCACCTTCTGAAAGAATGCTGAAAAACTAAAAGGTCTTTGTGCACTAAGAGACATTTGACTTTGAAGTGCCGTTCTGAGTTCTTGAGTTCATTTGATTGGGTTATGATGTAAAATCTTCATTGGATTTTTCTTCATGGGCTTTTCCTACTGCTTGATTGAAACAAGTTCTGAACTTGTCATTAATCTTTAACAGTGTTGTTTATGTAAATACAGTTGTCTTTCATAATCTTGTATCTTTCATAATCAAATTAATTGAGAAACTTGGTAAATGACTGCAGTAGGTGTAAGATAAGACACTGTACAATTCATGAGGCATTTTGTAATGCCTAAGAATAGCCCTGCATCAGATCAAAGGTCCATCTAGCCTAGTATCTTCAATAGTACTTGAAAAGGGATCCTTTAAGCATAGGAGTAGAGGAAGCATACAGTGAGACATCATCCAGTTTCCAACTCGTCAAGCTTCCGACTTTATAGCTCAGGGACATCTTGTGATATTGTAGCTTATTGTGTTTAATAATCTTCGATGTCTTTCTTTTCTGCAGATTTGTCTACTCTTCAATCCATGTAAACTTGTGGAATCTGTCATACCTTAAGGTGTAGAAGTCTTTCCTACATATTACACTCTTATGAAAACCAGTCTTTTTCTATGTCTTGGCAAAGAAGGCCAGCAGCCTCCTGGGCTGCATTAGAAAGATTGTTGCCAGCAGGATGTGGGAGGTGATCCTTTCCCTGTACTCAGCACTGGTGAGGCTACATCTGAAGTGCTGGGTCCAGTTCTGGGTTCCCCAGTACACAAGGGACAAGGACAGACTGGAAGGAGTCCAGAAAAGGGTGACTAAGACGATGAAGGGTTTGAAGTATATGACATAGGAGTAGAGACTGAAAGAGCTGGGACTGTTGAGGAGAAGGCTTGAGGGGATGTTGTTAATGTGTATAAATATGGGGAGGGGAGTCGGAGGGTCAAGAAGATCGAGCCAGACTCAGTGCTATCAAGTGGCAGGACAAGAGGCAGTGGGCACAAATTGAAATACAAGAAATTCTACTTAAGCAAGAAAACCCTTTTTTCGCTGTCAAGGTGACTGAGCACTGGCACAGGTGCGCAGACAGACTGTGGAGTCTCCATCCTTGGAGATACCTCAGAACGTGACTGGACACAATGCTGGGCAACCATCTTGAGGTGACCCTGCTTGGACAGTGGGTTTGAATTAAATGATATCCAGAGGTCTCTTCCTACCTTACCTACTCCTTGTGGTCTTGTATACTTAGGACTGAGTCAAGCAATGACTCACTAACCAGCAGTGGCTCCACAGGGGAGTTACTGGCTGTGTCGTAAAACAGGTAGTCCCTGTGTAATACCTTAGTGTATTCCACTTGGGATGACATTAGAGTCAAATAGCAGGAGCAAGTTTTTTTTAATGTAGTATTACTCTGTTACTGGTATGGCCACCTCTCTCCCTCCCCCTTGCAGACTTTGTATCTTAATATTTATAGTCCAGCAATTTCTGCCTATTCTTCCACCCTGAGTTAAGTTCTTGAAGGCTAAACGTTCCAGTTGGTCCATTTTGTAGTATTATCTGGCATGTCCTTGCCCTACTCAGTTAGGCTTCTTTTCTGCATCTTAAACAAATGTCAGTATATGTGGTATTATCTTCCTGAATGGCACTGCCGCTCAGAGGAATTACAAATTCAAATAACCTTCCATTTCCCGGTGTTTTTCATTGTTGTTATTTTCACTGTACCATGTGGAACAACGTTTAAGGCCAGAAGCATCAAAATAAAACATGGAAACATGTTTACTGTGGTTTTGTAGGGAAGGATCGTATTTTGTAGAAAAAGCCATGCATTTACCTGTTACTCTTTAAATTTACAAATGTAAATGCTAATCATTAATACTTTAAATTAATAAATAAATAAATCCTAGCCGAATGCTAAGCCAAACAAATATTTTATGTGTGACTTCTCTCATTCCAATAAAAGGCAACAAAAGTTTCTTCTAGTAGATGTCATTGGCTATAATACAGCTTTTCATGGACAGCTTATCTTTCTTTTAGCAGATGAGCACCCTATTTTATGAGTTCATTTGCATTAAAGACCAAAAAGTTAAAGATGGCAAATAATTTGGAAAAAAAAAAAAAAGACGCTTTAAGGAGCTAGTGTTCTAAAGTGTTTTTCTGCATGTGCTTGGAGAGATAGAAACATTGGTTTATCTTGGCATCTGAGCAAGTTTCTTACTCCGTTCTCACAGCTGTAATTTGTGGCCATAGAATTCTTCCTGAAGGAAGCCTGACTTACCAAAACATATTTTTTTGTCTTCAGAAACACTTCTGAGCTCTTAGAGAAACGAAAAAAGGTAACATACAGTGAACATGAATGAGGGTAGAAAGATTAGGTTACTGGCATTGCTTCATATTTTAATGGGTTACTACTGCTTTTAGCTGGCGCTTAGTGACTCACCTGGATCACAGCCGTAATGCATTATACAAATGAGTAGTGGTGGTTGAGACTTGATGATATTTTTTATGTGCAGTTGGGCATTTTTTTGTGAACTGATAAACCCAATGAACTTGCCTGGAGTTTGTTGATAAAAGTTTGGAACATTTTCTCCTGATCATAACAACATAACGTTTTCAGTATATACGTGATTTTAAAGTAACTTGTATCTGTAATAGTGTTTAGACAGAGACCTCTCACAAAGCACTACCTGTTTATTTTTATAGTGATATGGAAAATCATTTAATTCTGTGATTAGATTTCAAAAATCTTGAGAACTATGCTTTGCAGTTCAGTACCATACCATAGAAGAAAGGTTCTCAGTAAGGGTACATACTGTCAGATACTACTAGACCGCTTCAGGCGCACAGTTTTTTCACTTCAGACTTACGGACAAAACAGTATCCGATTTTTCCATATCTTTTAAGAGAGTCAGTATTAGTTTAAATGTGATTTTTTTTTTTTTAAGAAGAAGAAAGACAGGTGTACTATTGATAGCACCAGTTTGAAGATTTCCAGACCGGCATAAATATTTCTCTCATCAGTTTTTACGGACTGATTAGACCAGGAGAAATAGGGCTTAAATTCAAATTACAGCAATACCATCTTAACTGAAAGCGTTGAGCTGCTTTCTAATTGTAGACTGGTGATAGATCATTTTGTGATACTAGGCAGGTGATCTAATGTGAAAATGAGACTGTAGAATAGCAAGTAGAAGATACTTGTGAACTCGGAGATGCTTAATTTTCAATAAATTTGAATATGCTTTCTGCAGTAATTGTATGCATTTTTGACTGCATTTGTGTAGTTGCATGGATTCAGATCCACACCAAGTTCTGCACTCTAGGGCAGTTTCTTCTCAGTTTGAAGCTTTTAGCTCTAATATGTGGTAGTACAGGAATAATTTCGTGAAGTAAATTGCAGAAACATCATCACCATATTGTTTATATCTGAAATAATTCTACATTTATTTTATGAATTTTCAAAGATATTACACCATTTTTATCTCCCATTTACTCAAAGCCAAGAGTGCCATTAGCTGATACTTAAGTGTTTAACACTAGAGTGAGCATTCCAAAATTTGTAACTGTGCTCTTCTGTATTAACCCCCCAGTGAAGGGACAGGAGCGGCTTC